TAAAACAGCATCATCCAGTTTGAGGGCCCAACTTATTTATCAAACCCAACTCACACAATTTTTGACACCTATAGAATGGAGAAAACTTGGTTATAGCTCAAGTTTAAAAAAAACAAAAAAGAAGCTGCACACTGTTTACAACAGCAAAAGGAAACAGGCCAAATTCTCATCCATAGAGAACTGGTTAAATAAAGTATGGTACATCCAAGCAATCAATGCAGCTATAAAAAGAAGTAAGTAATCTCTCTGCATAGTTCTATGGAATAATCTCCAAGATAAAGTAAAAAGCCAAGTGTAGAACAATATACATAATATGCTAAATATGCTACATCTTGGTTTAAAAAAGGGGAGTGGGATAAAAATGTGTATTTGGTTACCTACGGGGAGGAATGGGAACTGGGCAAATAGGGAACAAAAATGGAAATTTTATTTTAACATTTCACGTTTTTGAACCATGTGCATGTATTACCTATTTTAAAAAGCTAGATGCTTCAGGTTCTGAAGAACTCTAAAAAATTTTGAGCAATGACAAAAATCACTGTTTGGCGCGCCCCCCCACCCCCCAGCCAAGATCAAAGTAAGATTTCTGTTCATCATTTGTACCCTGTAAACCATCCCCTCTCCCCCCAGCAATAAAATGCAGGTTCACTGTGAAAGGTTTGCAAGAAATAAACACATTTTAATTTTCCTGACACTTTTCATATTTTCCAGACATTTTTTCTATATTTTTCCCACCCAGCAAAATGAATTTTAGCCCCACCCAATAAAATCATAATATGGATTACATATTTATAGTGGACATGTGTTCACTATGTGCACAGCAATGGTGATTGACTCTTCCTCTCCTAGGTGAGGGTTTTCAATTATAGTGCTCCTCCCACAGGGCAGGGGAAGCAAACTATCCTCCCTCTCTACAGGGACTGAGCGGTTTGAAGAAGGCGATGCAGGCCTAAGGTGGTGAATCAATAAAAGTTCTTCCTGGGTTTCACTGTTAGAGCTAGCAAGGAAGACTCTTTTTTGCCTTTGGGGTTATAATACTAGGAAGATAACACATTATATCACAAGATCTTGTGATATAATGTGAAGGCAATTAAGCCAATACAGTGAGGAAAGCAGTCCAGGAAGAGACAGAAACAGAAAAAGACCCAGCATCATTATCTGAGCCATGAATCCAGCCATATTTACACTTCCTGGTGATGTGAGCCAATACACACTCTTTTTAGTTTAAGCTAGTGTGACATGTATTCCTGTCCTCCCTTACACCCAAGAGTACTGACTAATTTATCAATTTTTTCATATCATTGGATATTCTTTAGAAGCATGGTTTGAAATGCTGACATACTTTCCATCACATGGATATATCATAATTTATCTATTATTACCTTATTAATATTAATAGTATTCCCGTACTACTGATAATTTGGGGGGTATTTCCAATTATTTACAATTAAACATGTCTTTTTTTTTTTTTTTTGGGCCACTCTGAGCAGCTTGTGGGATCTTAATTCCGCGACCAGGGATTAAACCTGAGCCCACGGCAAAGAAAGCTCCAAGTTCTAACCACTGGACTGCCAGGGAATTCCCTGTCATGTTTTTTTTAAGCCTCAACTGTATAATCAAACTTCATCTTTGTGAAGACTACATGCAGAATTCCAAATGTGTGTACAGCATAAAAAACAATGGCCCAGACCACAAAAAGTATATTGTTTGAAAATCTGTTCTTAAAGATCCCCAACATTTTGTTTGTCAAGCCTGTGACTGAGACAACAGTCTCAGAATAAAACAACCTATAACCTCCAAGTTCCTTATATGTACAATGAGTGACAAGTGAATGTCTTAGTATTAAACACACAAATCCCTGAAGCTATTTTTTGCCCCTGTCCTATATTAATCTACTTCTTTTTCAAAGTGTATATTCTATTCATGTCCATTCAAAAATCTTTTTAAAAAATGGAACTGTTATATTTTAATTTGCTAAACCATGTTCTAAGGTTCTTTATAACATACATGACATTTGTCTGATCTTGTTAAAGTTGTGACAAATAAGAGATTCTGTAAGATATCCTATAGCTAAGGCTCTTCTCTCTCCCCCCAAAAAGTAGAAAAAAAGAAATAAACTTCTAGGGCATTAAAACAGCTATTTATTAAGACAAGAATAACAATAATAGTAAACATTCATTCACGAATCACAACTATAAACCTGACTAGGTGACTATAAAGAGGCTCACATTTCAGTAATACATCTAACCAAGCAGAATTAGTCTACCTTTTCAACATTTTTTTTCTAATAATAACATTTAAGTTCAAATATACAATACCTATAAGAGGAACTACTAAAGAATAATTTTTGGTATTACATCAGTCTGTCTTAAATCCTTTCTAAAAGATTATTAGAAGTACCAGTCAACTTCATGCTAGAATGGCTGAACTGTGGAATTACAATACAGTTAACTTATCTATCAAGGGCCTTATTAACTTAATGAACGGCACTATAGTTATTACTTATTATTATTAATTGTTACTATTAACACTATCGTATATAAATCTGTAAAATTACCATTGGATTAAAAGACATTTACCAGTACCGTCTTCTACTTCTCCATTCACTCCTATGCTTAGAAAATGCCTGCTTTTGCCTCAAATAAAAGTCAAAAAGCTCTTAGAAATAAAAGGTCAAGCCTATTGAATTAATTTCATGTTTGTTTCTTCTTTTTTTTAACCAACTTAATTCTCATTTAGCTCTTGGGCACAAATCATTATTTACTTTTTTCGATAAAACAGTATAGTTTTGGAAACAAATTTTTACTTTTTCCAGTGGTATCCTAACTACCTATTTCTACTAGATTGGGCAAGAACAAGAAGTGATTTAGGGTATTAAAATTTATCAACAGACAACTTATAAAATATATACTGAATATATCTGTAGTTAGGATACTCATGGTTCTTGTTAACATTTTGACTAAAATGAGGTGATGGCAAACTTTCCAACAAACAATACATTTTTTAATAAAAAAGAAGTTTCCCTAAAACAGCAAGTCAATTCTGACTCTTTAAATTCTAAGAAACAAAAAAACAGAAAAGACCCAGGCAAATAACTATTAAAAAACAAAAACAACAACTTTTCTTTTGGCAACATGTAAGCATGAAATGGCAACCAGCCCTCTTAATCTTTTTTTTTAAACATAGTGGCTTAAGGAAATTAACTAAGGAAGTAAAAACTAAATTAATATGATATCTATGTAAGAGAGATATGGGGGGAGGACTATTTAACAGAATGCTGGAGTGGGGAATTATTATTTAATTGTGTGTGGTAGTGTAAAATCTTACATTTTTTGGTTAAGAAATTTAAAAAAAAGGTTAAAACTACATGTTCAATTTTATATTGTACATGTACTGTAGGCCCTCAAACGCTGGAGAAACATAGCCAAGTTAAATCATGTTTGTTTAATTAAAATCCTTGCAAAAATGAACTGAGTACTTCATGGGACTGTAAGATTCTCATTGTCATTCTTACGTTAGAGACTCACTCATAGTGCTAATAAATCATGTATTCAAAAAACTATTGCTTAGAAAAGAGATAGGTACAAACATGTAAAAACACTAGTTAGAACAGTTAAAAGAAACACTTCCGTAGTTAAAAAGTACCTGTAATATAAGTAAACATATAATAAATAAAAATGCACAAAATATTACAATTAGCATATTCTTAATGGACTTAGGGCACTGACTAAAACTGGCTTGATCTGAAGAAACTAAAATGTAAGGCAGAAATCTTAACTATTAGCAAAACTCTGCGTTTAACTTTAAGAATTATCAACACCTCTACTATAAATTTCAGTTAATAACAAGCATTTCCCTCTCCCTTTTGCAAATATGCCTTCTTTTAAAAGGGAAAGATTAATTGGAAACGACTATACAAAGATTTACACTAATTCAAAACGATATATTAATATCTTGAGAACTCTCTGGCACTTAAAATATGAGACAGACTTCCCTAAGCAACTATTTCATAACTTTACGATAATGCAGCATCACCATAATATACAAGAACCATGCACAAAAACACCCCCAAATAAAAAGCAAAGCCAAGTTGACGCTAATTCTTGGTGCAGATAATCTTTCTTAGTTCCCACACAGGTAATGTTTTTGAATATCAACTTGAAATGTTAGTGAATTTTTAAAAACCTGTAAATCTGTTCATAAATTAAACCCTGAATCTCTAAAAATCACCATTCAGCTACAGAAACTCGTTTAGTTCTACACTGTTGATATTTTTAACTTTGAATATTGGGAAATTTCTAAGTCAGGATAAAAGCCAATGTGTCAATCCCCTTATACCACCCACCCGCCAAACCCCAAACAAACAAAAAGCAAAACCTCCTTACCAGCTTTTCTCTTTAAACAAGTAGTTAAACTACTTTTTTAAAGCTAGCCTTGCTCTCAGTTCTCTACTGCACCTTTACCTTAAGCCAAAACGGACCCTGGACAAGACTAATTAAGCTCTGTTTCCAGGAGACTCACAAGTGGCTTTTCGCTGTCAGGCCTGGGAGCAGTAAGGCCTCCTAGCTTTCGGACCCCTCTCCCAGCATTTCGCACCCGCTCAATTCAAGTGTGAATAAGAGGGGCCGAGAATGCTGGGCCCGAAAGGGCATCGCCGGGGCCTAGACCACTGCACGGTCCCCAAGGCGGCTCGCGCGGTAGGGAAGAGGGAGGAGGCATAGAGAACCGAGCGCTGGAGGCCAGGGGAAACGGAGGAGGCGCTTGGACTTGGAGCGCAATGCTCGGGACCCCCTTCGCTGCCTCCTTTACCCTCCCTTCCCCCATGCTGGAGAGGCAGGGCCCGGGCCCGGTGCGGGAAGGGGGAGGAGGTAAACTCGTCCTGTCACTGCACCGGGAGAGGCTGGAAGGAGCACATGTTCAACGGGGAAAGGCCGCGGCCGCCCCGGCCCCTAAAGCCAGAAGCCACCTCCAGTCCCAGAGTTCTGTTCCCTGCGCCTCACCAGGTCGTAGTCCTCCTCATCATCGCACATGAAATCATCCTCCATGTCAGACATCTTGGCTGGGACGGGGGGGGGGGGGCGGGGGAGGAGAAATTGGAGACAACCTCCTCCCACAATCCTCCGCGGCTCAGAGGCGTCACTCCCAGCTTCTCCTCGCCTTCCCGTAGCTCTTAGAGGAGCTGACTGTTTCCTCCCGGAACAAATGAGCTCGGTTTCCAGAGGACTCGCTCCGACGCCGAAAGCGATTGCACCGTCCCCTCTTCCTGTGAGACGGTTGGTGCCTTAGCAACTAAACCTAGCAACTAGGGAATCCTCGAGTGTTACGGATCTCGGCTGAGGGGCCTTGGAAACCTTGAGCTCACAACGAGCCGTTTCCAGCCTCCTGGGCAAGGGAACAGTATCCTCCCTTGCCTGGGATTCTGGAACCATTTCATTCTGGTGAAAGTAAGAGGCAGCTTGGGACCAGCAGCCTTTCGCGGAGAAAAGTCTGACATGCCCATCCTATGTGACAGGTAGTTATTTTTGCCATGATTATCGATGCGCATTTAGCCCACACATTTTGGTGGGTGGTCATGTGATGTTTGGAAACCTTTCGGCAGCACGATTTACACGTAATGTTTGTTATATTTGTAGTCGGCAAAACGACTCTGTGGATATCCCAAATTAGTAAAGTATCAATCAATGGAGGCATCTGAAGTCTTATTCAGTTGTTCAACGAATTATAAACTAACCTTTACTGCCCGTGGAACCGAATTAAGGTAACAGCTAACGACTGTTTTTTAAAAAAATGCGTTATTATTGCACAACATCGTTAGTAGAATTCGAAATAAAAAAATGAAATGAAGGGGAAAAAACTGCTTTTCAAACAACATTTTCCATATAAACTTCCAGTTTTGTCCACTTGAATTCACAAATTTTATATAGCTGTAGCACAGATATAATTTCAGATTCTTTCTGCACCTAGTTATGTAACAGCATAGGACAATGTATGCAATATATTGTTGACAATGATTATTTTAATGGCGGCATAATAAGCCCTTGGTTGAATGTACCAATGCACCGTAATTTACTTAAGCATGCTATTATTGTTACACATTTTGAATATTGCAACAGTACCACCATTTTAAACAATTCTGGAGCGAGTATCATTGTCACTTTACTTTTCCTTAGGAAAAAGTCCAGGAAGAGGAATTGCAGACTGGATTTTTTTTTTTCCATTTTGGCAGTTACTCAGTAACTGCTTTTTTTCGTTTGCTTGTTCCTGCGGCATGCGGAATCTTAGTTCCCTGACCAGGGATCAACCCATGCTCCCTGAATTGGGAATGCCAGGAAAGTAAGTATCTGGATTTTTTAGTAATCATTTGTTTTTGTTTTTGTGTTTTTTAAAATAATTTAAAAAATTTTTATTGGAGTATAGTTGATTTACAATGTTATGTTTCAGGTGTACAGGAAAGTGAATCAGTTATACATATATCCACTCTTTTTTTTTTTTAGATTCTTTTCCCATATAGGCCATTACAGAGTATTGAGTAGAGTTCCCTGTGCTATACAACAGGTTATTATTAGTTATCTATTTTATATATAGTAGTGTGTATACATCAGTCCCAATCTCCCAATTTATCTCTCCCCCTTATCCCCCGGTAACCATAAGTTTGTTTTCTACATCTGTGACTCTACTTCTGTTTTGTAAATAAGTTCATTTGTACCGTTTTTTCTAGATTCCACATATAAGCGATATCATATGATATTTGTCTTTCTGTATCTGCTTTCTTCACTCAGTGTGACAGCCTCTAGGTCCATCCATGTTGCTGCAAATGGCATTATTTTGTTCTTTTTTTATGGTTGGGTGATATTCCATTGTAATATGTACCACATCTTCTTTATCCATTCCTCTGTTGATGAACATTTAGGTTGCTTTAGTATATGTGCTGCTGAAGCGGGCACCCTTTTGCCCATTTTTAAATTGGTTATCTTACTACCATTGAGTTGTAAGTGTTCTTTATACTTTTTGTTGTATTTAAGTAATATTTGCCATACCCAAGGGCACTAAGATTTTTCTCTTTTGTTTTCTTCTAGAAGTTTTATGTAGTTTTAATTCTTACATTCAGATCTATGATATAGTTCAAGTTTAATTTTTGTATATACTGTGAGGTAAATGTAGAGGTTTATATTTTTCTGCATATGGATAACAAATTGTTCCAGCATTATTTGTCAAAAAAAAAGATCCTTTCTCTATTGAATTGTCTTGGCAGTTTTGTGAAAGATAATAGACCATTTAATTCCCAACAGAATTTGACCCTTTAAAAGTATATTTTTGGGCTTCCCTGGTGACGCAGTGGTTGAGGGTCCATCTGCCGATGCAGGGGACACGGGTTTGTGCCCCGGTCTGGGAGGATCCCACATGCCGCGGAGCGGCTGGGCCCGTGAGCCATGGCCGCTGAGCCTGCGCGTCCGGAGCCTGTGCTCCTCAACGGGAGAGGCCACAACAGTGAGAGGCCTGCGTACCGCAAAAAAAAAAAAAAAGTATATTTTTGATAATTTTATGTTATCCTGTATTATGATTATTTTGTATTTATTCTTTATTAAGCTGAAAGCTCCTTGAGGACACAATTATTTTACTTACCTCTGAAAGTCGGCATGCTCAGTGAAAGCATGATATATTTAAGCATGTTCTAGCATTCATGACTCCCCAGTGCTGGATTGAGACATGTGGTTACCCCAAACAGGTTCATGATTTGGAAGCTTTCAGAGCAATTACCTTAAAACATTTTTTTTTTTACCACATTTACTTAGGCTGAACATCGTATGTTAGAAGGGCAGAAAAGGAGGACTCCTTTTGTGTTAGTCAAGATCTGGACAGGAAACTCATAGCATACTGGAGCGGGGGTGAGGACATTAACTGAAAAGAGTTTCTGAAGGAACTATTTACAGAGATGGGGTAGGGTTGAGGGAACCCACAAGGATGGTGAAACACACAAGGACTAGCAACAGGCTGGAAATCCCATTTCTTGAAGGCTTGAAGGGGCAAAGGGAAGAAATGGTTTTACCAGAGCCTAGCAAGAGTGGGAGCCCTAGAGGATGCACCCTCCGACAGCAGCTGTGGTTATAGGGAAACATAGCTACTGTCACAACTATGGCAAAGTTGTGGTAGGGTGTGTGAACTCGTGTGTGTGATAAATATCTCAACTTCTCTGTTTTACCATCCTCTAATATCTTGCCAGTGACCAACCCCAACCAGAAGCCAGAGGGTAAAGGAGCCCAGGTACAGTCCTTAGAGATCAGCTTCCGGGAGGGTAGAGAAGGGTGAAAAATGGATCCAGAAGTCAAATGGGGGGACTTCTCTGGTGGTCCAGTGGCTAAGACTCCATGCTCCCAGTGCAGGGGACCCAGGCTTGATCCCTGGTCAGGGAACTAGCTCCCACATGCTGCAACTAAGAGTTCACATGCCACAACTAAAGATCTTGCATGCCGCAACTAAGACCCGGCACAGCCAAATAAATAAATAAATATTTTAAAAAAAAGAAGTCAAATGAGGAGTAAACAGTATAACATTGTGTCATGCAATCAGCTGTAGCATAAATTACATACTTCACTCAGGGAAGGAACTTTCTCTCCTTCAAAGGCAAATTGCCGACTATCTGCTGTTGTTGGAGCATATCCCTTGATTTTACCAACCAACCTGAGCGGCTTATCAAAATGTTATTTCTGCCTACATTTAATACCCACTCTTTCCTGAGAGGAGCTCTGATAAATACAGTTTGCATGATCTCATTACATATCCACCTTATAGATTAATGCCCTTGCCTTGTTAGTTGTCCTTTTAATCTGCTTCAGTCTCTTCAGATTAAATAAAATGATGTATGTAACTACATGGTGTTTACAAAGTACTCAGTAAATGTATCATTTTTAACTAAATCAACTACTCATACTTCAGAATGCTCTACACTACAATTACATCTTCCATCTCTAAACTTGTGTAGTGGGAATTACAGCAATTAAAGGATAAAGCAAATAAAGGATAAGTAGGCAGGCTAGGAGTTTCCATTTTTTACATTGACTTTGGCCTTGGGAAAGTGTCTCTTGTAAAATGCACTTACACAATTTTAGCAATGTTATTTGCCATTTTTGTATCTCTAATGCCTACTCATTTTTATTCCCACCCAAAATGGTGATCATACCTCCCTAGTTTTGTGAAATGAACACATTTGTTTTTTTGTGGGGGGGCTGCACCATATGAGGGATCTTACTTCCCTGACCAGGGTTGGAACCTGTACCCTCTGCAGTGGAAGCATGGAGTGTTTTTTTAAAAAAATTAATTAATTTTTGTCTGCGTTGGGTTTTCGTTGCTGCACATGGCTTTCTCTAGTTGTGGCGAGCGGGGGGCTACCCTACGTTGCGGTGCGCGGACTTCTCATTGTGGTGGCTTCTCTTGTTGCGGAGCACGGGCTCTAGGCGCGTGGGCTTCAGTAGTTGTGGCTCGCAGGCTCAGTAGTTGTGGCTCGCGGCTCTAGGGCACAGGCTCAGTAGTTGTGGCACGCCGGCTTAGTTGCTCTGCGGCATGTGAGATCTTCCCGGACCAGGGCTCGAACCCGTGTCCCCTGCGTTGGCAGGCGGATTCTTTTTTTTTTTTTTAACATCTTTATTGGAGTATAATTGCTTTACAATGGTGTGTTAGTTTCTGCTTTATAACAAAGTGAATCAGCTATACATATACATATATCCCCCTATCTCCTCTCCCTTGCGTCTCCCTCCCACCCTCCCTATCCCACCCCTCTAGGTGGTCACAAAGCACCAAGCTGATCTCCCTGTGCTATGCGGCAGGTGGATTCTTAACCACTGTGCCACCAGGGAAGTCCAGGAAGTGAGGAGTCTTAACCACTGGACCGCCAGGTTAAGTCCCTGAGCGCCCTTTTCAGCAAGACGTGTGGTGTGGAGGCAAAGTAGGGAGCTGACACAATTATACTGTAACTATCTCAGATTCCAGAGATTAAATCTGTTTATCGTTTTTGACTTCTTTTAAATCAGAGCTTTCCCCTATTTCCTTCAGCTTTTTCCTACTTCTCAGAATCTGTACCTATCTTTTCTCTACCCCAGTCTTTCATCCCTACTCTCATTCCTACCCTCAACTAGGGACTTAGTTTGAGACTTCAGCATTCTGGATTCCGTATGAGTTATTAATACTATTACTGCTGCATTATGACTTAGATTTAGTTTTATGGGTTGATCGGAGAATCAAAATTAAAAAAAAAAGCTGTTTCTCATTATAATGCAACATGCTTGGGACTTCCCTGGCGGTCCAGTGGTTAAGACTCCGAGCTTCCACTGCAGGGGGTACAGGTTCGATCCCTGGTTGGGGAACTAAGATCCCACATACCACATGGCACGGCCAAAAAATAAAAAAAAATTAAAAAAAAAAAGAATGCAACAGGCTTAGATGTTATAGGTTGTTTTGACTAGGTCGGTTTTTTCCTAGAAAAATAAATCCTTGAATTATGCCAGTCACCTGAGATCCCTTCCAAACATATTCTTAAAAAAGAAAAAAATCACTTAAGATAATAATCATGATTTATTGAGTTGGGCAACACTGAATGGTTATGACAAGATAAGATGTAGAAAATATTGTCAGGTTTGAACAGCCTTGGTACTATATTTAGTTTCTGGGTCAAGACAGTGAAAAGCAAAAACAACATATAGTTTTTCTTGACCACACTCTGCGTTTTTGTTTGTTTTTTGTTTTTTAGTTCCCCAACCAGGGATTGAAAGTGGGCCATGGCAGTGAAAGCACCAGGTCCTAACCACTGGACCACCAGGAAATTCCCATACATATAGTTTTAAGTTGGGGCAATTTATGTGCAGTTTGGCCCGTCTAATGTATACTTTAAGCTTGAAATGCAAACTTCTAATTTCAAGATCAAGTTAATCTAAATTTTTGCTCAACAGATTTCATTTTCTTGTTGGAATGTGTATTATATGCGGAGTTTGTATCAATTTTTATAGTAAATTCTTTTATTAAATTTTGATTTGTCATAATAACAGGACCATTTTGTTTATGTTTATTGTTGTATCCTGAGTACCTGGATTAGTGCTTAGAACATAGTAGCACCTGATAAACATTTGCTAAGTGAATGAATGCTGATAGAACAATGGATGAAACATGGAATGTAAAGTCTAATGGTGGAGACATAATAGATATAAACATCAATAAATAATTAATGTAATTTCAGATAGCCATAACGACAACAAACCAGATTTAGGGAATAGAGAATGACTGGAGGGGAGGTGAGGATGGTTTTTAAAATCTTCATAACAACTCCATGAAGTAGGTATTTTATT